CACGGATAGGAACGATCAATCCCTAATATTTCATCCCGACATAAGTAGTGTCCTTCCCTGTTTCCTCCACTCTTTTCCTCCTAATTTAAATCAGATATCGTTTCCAACTTTTTTCCAAGAAGATTATCGACTAGCCAAAAGGGACCCTACCATTGTCATGTTCTTATTGGGTTGCACATGAATATATAAATTATTGATTGTCCTTGTGTGTGTGCACACATGTGTATTTGTAGATAACAAATGTAAGATCGTTATTGTTTTTCGTTGTAAGCAAATGGATCATGGAGCGAGAAATGGGCATTGTATTTCCATTTGCTAAACATATACTTGTGTCTAAAAGAATATTTTGTTTTTAAAATGAATTCCAAAGTACAAGAATAGAGCTTTCTTTTTTAGTAATAATTGGTGTTCGATCTATTGATCGATTAATTCAGATCGGGTATTATAGAGGCAATGATGACTCTCTCAACCTAGTTTGTTTCATTCACAACGTCAATATGTGAACTCTTGACCATTCTTAAGGAATCCTTTACCCAGTTTCTCCCATGAATGGATGTAGAATTTTATAGTAACAAGAAGAACTTCTAAAATTCTAGATGATAAAACAGATTTTCAATAATATATATATAATCTAAAATATATGAAAATTTTAAAATTTAAGGGGTCAACTATACCTCTCTCGATCCATCCATGCTTCTCACATGAGAAAAAGCGAAAAAATAATAAGAAAACCCAATACCCTTAAAATGAAATCTTGATTAATATATTAGATTTAGAAATCAATCTTTAAACCAATAATTAATTGGTCTAGTGAGATGAGGCACTAGGTCCCTTAAGCAAGGTCAGAGATTCGAATCATGGGGTTTGTGAATGGAGCAAACTAGGTTGGGAGAGTCGCCCTCACCTCTGCAGTACCCGATATAGATTAGTCGTCAATAGATCAAATACTAAAAATCAATCTTTGAACAGTCTCTTATTTGATGTGCACGTGTGGGTGATAACATTTGCCTTCACATTGCATGTGAACTCTGACATGCCTTATCTATTTATATTATAATATTATATAGAGTTAATTATGTAGGTATCCCCAAACTATGCTCAAACTTTATATTAATTCACAAATTTTGAAACATTAAAATTAGTCTCCAAATTATTAATATCATTTAAAACATACTCTTTTGTTAGCTTAGCAAACTAATTGGGCGTCAAATGTCAATTCGAGTCCAACGCCAAGCATATTAAAAATTCTCGATCAATTTTTAAACACATATGTACATGTTGCGTAGATAGTTCATATTTGTCGTACAAAAAATTATCTATCACTAGAGTTTAACATGTCTATTTTTTAACACACCAAATTTAATTGATGCATAATGTTTAAAATTTGACTCATATATTTTAAAATATGTTTCATATCATATCTAAGTTGACATTTAATACTCAAATAGTTTACTAAACTAACGTAAGAAGGTGTTTAAAATGATATCAATAATTTATGGACTAGTTTAAAATGTTTTAAAGCTTAGTGGCTCCTTGTGCACTTAACTCGAGCAATGTTTTTTTTTATGGGTTTATGGGTATGGGGTCCTTAAATTTCATGTATGTTTTTTTCTGATCTCCATCGTCGTCTTCAATCATTTTCATTCTTTTTTCTTTACACTCATATTTCTCCCATTCCTTCCCCCTAGCCCTATCCATGCTTTTGCAACTTCCATCTCATTTCAATTCCAAGCAAGTGGATCCAAGTATATATATACACGTTGCAACCAAAGACGAAGTTATTGTAGTAGCTGATCCAAAAATACTTATTAGGGTGTATACATATATATTAACAACACAATTTTTGAACGAGTGAATACAAATAAAATTTCATAACAGACATAATCAATAAAATGGACAACTAACGCAAGAAAATTTAGATTTCAGAATGAACATTTGCCTATCCAAAATTATACTTGGATCCACCCCTAGACATTAGGGGGCAGGCAAAGATGTTGGAACCTAACTACATGATATAATTGTCGATATTCGAACATCATTGTTGATACTACATGTTAGGGAGAAACAATGGCTAAATTACATCACATAAATTAGTTGGTGAGACTATTGGAACATATTCTTCATATATTCTAGATTTTGATTTAGGGTTCATTGTTGAGCTTTTTGAATAGGTGGTTTGATGTTGAATTTCTATATGCAACATTTTAAAAAAAATTACTTTGATCTCTTGATATGATGCTAACAACCCTATATGCTTGTGGATGTGTTTGGAACACACCTTTTTTTTCATAGGAAAGAGTGAGGTTCATTTAATTTGGAAGACCCCTACTCTATTATTGATCTTTAGGGAATCTTAGGTTTTCTTTTTAGGTATAATATTTTTCAAATAATCAACTTAAAATTAATAATTTTAGTGATTCGATCTTTTAAATAATTTCCAAGATAAAAAAAATCATCTTATAAAATATTTTCTATGGAAAAAATTAATGAATACATAAGAATATAGAGATTTTTTTCAATAAATTTTGTTTTGTTTGTTTAATACTATATTATATTTATCCATTATAAATTACATTCTAATGTGAAATAAACATCTAACCAATAAAATCGAGTTTGAAAATTCGATACGTTAAAACTTGAAGTATTTAGGTTCGAATCTTATCTCGAGTAAATTATATATAATTTTTTATCTATATTCATTTTAATATGGGCCATTTCTACTTGTAGTAATTTAGATGTGTACATATCGATAAGTACATGTATCCCTTCCTAGTTAAAAGAAAACCTATCTAATTTGGAAACATAACAGAATGCTATTTTCTCCTTCCAAAGCATAAAAGCATCCTATTTTGTAAATTTAGGGTTTAGGGTTCTTAAATTCTTATCAAGAGTATAATATTTACCTTTTAAGGATTTAACAAAAGAAATTCTAACTTTCTTCATAGAAGAGCTTTTTCTTTTCAAAAAAAGAAATAAAAATCATGGAGGGTAAGCTTCGCTGCCAAAAGTTGCTGCTTTTTTGTATGATAGGGCAAAAGGAGAGTGATATTTTAGGTATGTGAATGTGATTGATGTTAATAACTCGTGAGCTTCCATTATACCCCTTTATAAATATCATCTCATCATCATTATATTAGCTCATCCCTTTTAATTAGCCCTTAATCTTAGTTTGATCCATCAAATATCAAATTGTTGTATTATCGCTAGAGTAGTTAAGACCTTACAGAATATTTTTGGACGTAATGAAGTTACGACCCTTTTAATTAAGTCTGCCAACTTACGAGTAATAATCATGATCTTAAGACTGACACCAACATTAAGAGTCATTATAAAACATACCAATCAAGGCTGGGAGAGAGACTGGAACCACTTCTGATGTATCCCTCCTTTACCTCTTCATGGAGACAAAAGACATAAACAACAACCAATCACGGAACAACCACCGGTTGTGACTCTCCATCCAAATCAAAATGAACGAACTATTAATGACCGGTATAACTCATTTGTTCCCATCAATACAAATACAGTTAAGGATGTCTAGGGTTATTACTCGACAGTTTTATCCTGTTTCGATTCATTATGATATTATTTACATAGAAATTTATTGATCCCTTGCGAACGTTAGTTCTATTTAATGTAATAATCTGTAACCTTCTTAATTTTAAAGAAAATCACATTAATCTATTATTTCTCATACGGTAATAGCATATTAGTAATGTTATTTGGCTATAGAATGTCATTGTTTAAACTGATTAAAAATCTGGGTTTTGTCTGTTTAATTCCATGCACGATGAGGTTTTGTCATAGAACGATCGAAATCAAATTGTCGTCATCTTAATGCAAATAAATGAACATACCAATCTTACTTTTCTTCTGTCTTTTGATTTTATACCTAAACAAATTCATAAATTTAGTGGTTAATAATATGCTAATCATACACATATTATTAGATTTCACATTAATTTAATTTAACTATTGATATTCGATATGTTGTTCGGTTAATTTAAATTAAGTTTTATTTTATCCACAATTTCAAGATATAAACTTTTAGTTTTGTTTAAAAAAAATTTTATGTCTCGTCTCATTATATCAATTAATTATAAATTTGATTTTACATTATTAACCTTCTTTTTATAATAGGAAGAAGTTGTTGATTTGAGTTTCTTTATTTTACACAGTAAAATATAAAAAAAATTAATTATATAATACATTCTTAAATTATGACTTTCATTTTAAATTAGTCCATGATTTTAAATATTTTAATTTTATTTTTAAATTATTTTTTAATTCTAAACTAGTCTGTAAACTTTTTAACATTCTAATTTTATCCTCAAAGTATATTCTCATTTTAAACTAATCTCTAAATTTTTAAACGTTCTAATTTTACATTCCCAAAACCATTATTTATAATTAAATTGAAAGGTTCTTTGATTTTTATTTTCTTCTCTCAATTTTTTTATAATTCTTTTTACGTTTCAAAATTAAATCATTATTTTATTTAAATTCGATATTAATTATTGTTTATTCCATATCATATTATTACACAGTACACGTCAATATTTATTCAATAATTAAATTTTTTTACAATAATTTTATTAACCTGGGATGCAAGTAGCATACAACAATAGTTTGATGATAAATTTTAAATTTTTAAAATTTTAGAAATCAATTAAAATAAAAAGTATAATTTGAGATGAATTGAAGATTTGAAAATTTTAGGACAAATTAGAATGAGAGCAGTCCATGTCATGGAAAAATCCAGTGGCACATGACAGGAGCCACCTGTACTGTAATAACCAAACTCTCTAGTTAACTTAACCACAGAGGACAGTCAATTATTAACCCAAAGTCCCAAACCAAAACTGAGTTTCACAGCTCAGTGAGTACAAGTACAACAATGCCATGTAACTCATAGTCTCTCTTTCCCTATATATTTTATCACTCTCCTTTCCCTCTTGTAGTTGTACCCTTTAACTTCACTGAGTTCTCATTATCGTTCTCTTTCCCGCAAAATTTGCAGTCTTCAAGCACCTGTGCTGATATCTTTTCAAGTTAGTTAAATAACGGTTTTAACGATCCCCATTCGGAGAAAGGAAGATGATTAGTTGGGGCGATCTTTACACCGTTTTAACGGCGGTGATCCCTTTGTACGTTGCTATGATATTGGCATACGGGTCGGTTCGTTGGTGGAAGATTTTTACCCCGGACCAGTGCTCGGGAATCAACCGTTTCGTCGCCATTTTCGCCGTCCCGCTCTTGTCTTTCCATTTCATTTCGACCAACGACCCTTACGCCATGAACTTCCGGTTCATAGCGGCCGACACGCTGCAAAAGCTCATCATGCTGTTCGTTCTGGGATTGTGGGCTAATTTGACTAAAAACGGCAGCCTGGAATGGATGATCACCATTTTCTCTTTATCAACACTTCCAAACACTCTCGTGATGGGCATTCCGCTTTTGATCGCCATGTACGGTCCTTACTCGGGGATGTTAATGGTTCAAGTCGTGGTGCTCCAGTGTATTATTTGGTACACGCTCCTTCTCTTCCTTTTCGAGTACCGCGGTGCCAAAATCCTAATCATGGAACAATTTCCGGGAACTGCAGCTTCCATTGTTTCTTTCAAAATTGATTCCGATGTCATGTCGCTCGACGGCCGAGATTTCCTCGAGACCGACGCTGAAATCGGAGAAGACGGGAAGCTACACGTTACAGTGAGGAAATCTAATGCTTCGAGGAGGTCTTTGGGGCTTTGTTCGCTTCCCGCATTGACTCCGAGACCGTCAAATCTCACCGGAGCCGAGATATACAGTTTGAGCTCTTCGAGGAACCCGACTCCGAGAGGTTCAAATTTCAACAACTCCGACTTTTACTCCATGATGGGTGTTCAAGGATTTCCCGGACGGCAATCCAATTTCGGTCCGGCTGATTTGTACTCCGTTCAACAACAGACTCCAAGACCATCGAATTTTGAAGAAAACAGCTCGGTTATGTCTCCGAGGTTTGGATTTTATCCGGCACAAACAATTCCGACATCATACCCTGCTCCGAACCCTGAATTTTCATCCGTAACGAAGAACACTAAAGCTATCCAACAACAGCAGCAGCAAACGGTTCAACCGCAGCAGCAGAAGGATAATAGTAAAGAGAACAATGATGCAAAGGAATTGCACATGTTTGTGTGGTGTTCGAGTGCTTCGCCGGAATCCGAAACCGGAGGACTTCAAGTCTTCGGTAACACGGATTTCGGAGCTTCCGACCAATCTGGACGGTCCGAGCAGGGTGGTAAAGAGATCAGAATGTTGGTTTCTGATCACCCTCAAAACGGGGAAAATAAAGGTACAATAATTAAATCAATAAACTAATATATCAAGTCGGTTAGTATTTTTTTTAATAACAATATGGTTGCTTGTGAAGCTATGCCAGGCAGTGGTGACTTTCACGGAGAAGGCTATAGCTTTGCTGGAAATGATGGGGAAGAAGAGAAAGAAAAAGAAGGACTCAATGAACTCAACAAGTTGGGGTCCAGTTCAACGGCCGAGTTGCACCCGAATGCCGGAGAAGCGCCGGATATTGGTGGTGGTAAACAAATGCCTCCGGCCAGTGTAATGACCCGCTTGATCTTGATCATGGTGTGGCGCAAGCTTATCCGAAACCCCAACACATATTCCAGCCTCATTGGACTGATTTGGTCCCTAATTGCTTTCAGGTCACTTCATTTACTCTTGACTCGAGTTTTGTGAATGAAAAAAATAATATGAATCTTATTTTGATTAAGAGTCCGATTTTGGGTAAAAAATTAATTACGAATTTGGGGTGTTCTTATTAATGCAGGTGGCATGTGAGTATGCCTAAAATAATAGAGAAGTCCATCTCCATACTGTCAGATGCTGGATTGGGAATGGCCATGTTTAGCTTAGGTGAGCGTTTCTGTTATTTGCTTTAAGTAATAATTATTAGTTTTTGTGTTCGGATTTCGGATTCAGATAATTTAAATATTATATAAAAATTATCGGATAAATTCAATTACTGCAACTGAACTTGGCCTAAATAAATATCCAAAGCCAACTATTTATGATACATTTGCCGAATTCAGGCAAGCCATTGGAACAAAAGTCCATGTAATGAATTGCCATGGACCAGTTTCCTTTTTCCTTTTTCAAAATTGATTTTGATATTACATGAAAATTGGAGGCTAATCTCTAGACTAAACGGGATTAATCTCCCGACAAGTGGGGTCGTGTTGTGATGGTGACCAGCGGTCCAGAGCCGGTGGGCATTGGTTGTGATAGACGCCAACTAGGCCACAGTTAGTGAAAGGTAGTTGGATTGAAAAGATTATGATGTTTTTGGCTTGTTGTATGGTGAAAAAAACAGGTCTGTTTATGGCACTGCAACCCAAGATCATCGCTTGCGGGAACTCCGTTGCTACATTTGCCATGGCGGTTAGGTTCTTGACCGGTCCGGCCGTCATGGCTGCTGCTTCGATTGCTGTAGGATTGCGCGGCACCCTCCTTCGTGTCGCCATCGTTCAGGTAACCAGAAAAAAAACTTAACATTCTTCCGTAACAATTAAACCTATTAGCTAACTTTTGTTTCAAATTTAACAGGCGGCCCTGCCACAAGGAATTGTACCATTTGTGTTCGCCAAAGAATACAATGTTCACCCTGCAATCCTCAGCACTGCGTAAGTGAAAAAACCCTGAATATATTAATCATATATGTCGAAAAATCTTCCGAACACCGTTTGCATGAAATCGGTCCGATTCCCTCAACGATATGTTATATGTATGAACAACTGATGTCTTCATTTGTTAATTTTTCAGGGTCATCTTTGGGATGTTGATAGCATTACCAATAACGCTCGTCTACTACGTTCTTCTAGGACTGTGAGGGTTTGTTTCCCTTTTTTCCCGTAATAAGCCAGAATATGAAGGGAGTTATCTAGGGTTTGGATTCGTGCTATACATTTGGAACGGAAGCATCGATCGAAACCGGATTACGTTGTTAATTAACATGAGGATTTTTCGGGGAAGAAGACTTTAATGTAAAAAAAAGGTTCTAAAATCATTGGAGATGACATAGGTAAAGTTATTTTGACTTAGCAATGTGTCCTCCCCGATATAAGGATCATGTCCCCATTAAAGGCCAAGTTTATCCAATTTCTTAGAATATTTTTCACACGATGAAACCATAAGGCTAGACATTGAAGAGGAAAAAGAGGGAAAATGTGGTCTCTTCATCTTCCTTATATTTTTTGTAAAGTTTGATTTCACTCTGAAGAAAGTAGCAAAAGGGTTTTTCTTTCTTTCTTTTTTATTTTGTAGAGAAGAAATGTAATCTGGATTTGTTTCTGATATTTACTTTGATTGGCATTAGATCAAATTGCAAATAGATTTTAACATCAAATAGTATAAGATTAATGACACGTACAAAAAATATAAAACTCTATCATATAATATAATAAAAACGGTTACATGAGACCTCATCAAGTAGATTTTGTACAATACTTCTGTAAATTTTGAATTTAAGCAATTATGTCTATAGTTTATGTGATTATATGTATTGTCAATAATAAAAAAAATACTAAATAAATATTATTTTGTAAATACTCGAGATTATTAAAAAACTATAACACAATAGGTTTTATTCAATATAGAAGTATAGAACATGTGGTGGTGTTCTCAAATATGTGGATTCATTCTACATCAGACAATCAAAGTATAGGTGGACGGTAACGGAACCGAAGAATCCTAGCCCTTTCCGATGAGGGCCATAAGCTTACAAATTATTTTTGCCAACATCCATCATTAATGGAGTCGTCAGTTAAGTCATAATTTTTTAGGTTTTTCGAAATTTTAAGAAGTCAAAATACTTTAAAGATATATTTTGACTTCTCATGCTTTAAATAATGTACATCTAAAATTTATCTAAATAAAAATATCTAATATGAATTTAAAATTAATTTTCATCTTTAATTTTTTTTAAATACAAAATATTTATAAATAGATAGATAGATATGTTTTATTTTTGAAATTGTAGCTGTCGTTGGTGAATTAATTTGAAGAGAGAGTGGGGGCACGAAGCAATTAAGGTATGGCTGAGACGGGAAACACTAGAAAGGGAACAAAAGCTAATTAAGACGTTTGAGAGGGAAAGATAGAGAGGGTGGTGGTCCATGTATGACGAACCACGGACATGAGTCGGGACAGATGGGGCACACCCCAAGGCCAGGGACCATTTGAGGGTTATACCTTTTCATTTTCAGACACAACTATCAAAATATATTACAGAAAGTAAGTTGTTGTCATTAAAATTAAAATGCTGTCAAGTATTTTTTTTATATCTGAATTATATTGTTTTTGTCCATATATTTACTTATTTAATACTGAAAACAAAATTACCAATCCTATAATTTATTCCAGTAAATAAATATCAACAATTACGTCCAAGGATGGAACCTGAATACTTCAGGGGTCACATGTGAATAGTAATAAAATAATTTGGTTTAATTCCGAGCGCATACGTAGGAAAGGAGTGCAACTTGCTTTTCCATTTTTCTTCATAATTCATAGCATTCAATTTGCCTTGATGTCTCCATCTCCCTTGTTTGCTTCCGATGTCCCAACTCTTTGATATTATTCCAACCTTAAGTATATGATTTCTAGCATGTTTTTGGACCATTTGATTCTACACCTAAATGCTTAATAGATTTGAATGCAACGTATTTAATAGATTAAATATGACGTGACAGGTTTCATATATGCATTATTTTGATGCATTTACATTTTATTCTTCATGAAAGTTACATGTATAATTGATATTTTTAAAGTTACAATTACGATTATAATTTTAATTTTAGTTAATATATATGTATAATTAATAAGTAATATGTGTGATACTAAGGTATATTACACTCTCAAGAAGATAATTAAGTTCAATTTTAATGATGTTAGAATCCATTGAGTGACCTCAATGATTAAAAGGGAGTGTTGTTCTCTTTTGAAGTCTCGGGTTCAAGCAGTTACATCTGCAAGATGTGTATGTTATCAACGATTAAGAAAAATTATACATAAATACTACATCGTAATTACCTTGAGCTATTCATAATAAAATATTGAAGACTTTATTATTGGTGTGGATCTTGAACCCAAAAAATGAAACATTGAAAATCACATGGATGGTTATTTTTGTTTTCGATTTGTCTTATTTTGGTCATCGATTTGGAGAAACTAACGATTTGGTCATTTACATTATCGAACTATCTTATTTTAGTCAACGAGACATTAAATCCCATTAGTTTGATCATGTAACACATTGATAAAAATGATTCTAATTTAACCCATGGATTTTTTATATTTTGTTTTATTTTCCACCATCTTTTTTTGGTTATCGTTGTCGTCTCAGTCATTGCATGTCCCTTTTCCAAACTACAACGCCTTTGCACTCTCATTCTTGTGTGTTGTGTCAACAATCACGCCTATGTACTAAACCCGTTGCCTCTCGTTTTCATCATTCATCTAATCCCTAAACTCTAATAACTTCTCAACTCTCTTTGCTTCATCACGTCGTGCGTGGCAGCAGAGCACATCAAACAAGATCACTGGTGTGGTAACACTAGCAAGCACGACAACACAAAGGAGAGAGCATTAGCTGGGTGAACTTGGGTGAAGGTGTGCTAGGGTTGAAAGGTGGTTCGATAACATTTAAGGATTATAGTTTGATAAATTTTAACGATCAATTTGTATTGATTTGATGAAATTAATGATTATTTTAGTTTTTCTTTCTTTCTAAGTTTAGTTAGAAATATGTTTTAAAATAATTTAATAATTATTTATATACTTTAAGTAAAAAATATAATAGCATACACAACTACACAAGTATAAGAATATAAACAAGTAACAACTGGTAGGGACTAGGGTTTGGTTTGATTTTCTATACTCTCATACTACACATTAAGGAATAATGGAATACAATGAGATTAAATGTGTGTTGAGATCAATCCAAACAGAAAGGACAAGGACCACATGATAATGATCGGACGGAGCATGTGATTCGAGGGTCGATAAATACAGCACGGACGAACATAGGCAGCCATCCATGGACCGTAAATCGAAATCCAAACCAATACCATGACATGGCAGCTCCGTATTTCGTGGCTAAAAAGAGAAACCCCATTGATACACCAATGAGCTATCTCATCATCATCGACGTAGTTATTAATGTCCACTACGTGCATGTACACGTGGCTAAAAGACGTCGGTGAAGTTCCATTTTCACATATAGTCATGCCCATGTTGTGATCATGTTCATGTGGTGTTTTTATTGTAGGCATACAAATACGATACTACATGATATAGTGTTGGAATTATTGCAAGTGGGGGTGTGTGTGAGAAAAAGTAACGGTTGGAAAGATAAGAATTCCAACTAAGGTAGGGACAAAATATTGGTTGAGAAGGAGGTTTGATACTAATTCGAATTTCGAATTTATAATACATATATATCTATATTATATTAAAATAAATTTAGATAGAGCTCCTACACATTAAACTGTACGGTGGTGGGGAATTGGATAGGTAAAATATTAGGTGAAATGGGCACATGATTATCCAAAAGTGAAAACGAAGTTCATCAATCATTAATTTACTGAAAAATTCTCTGCACTATACTGTTGCAGGTTTTCATCATGCAGCTACTGTCCCTACTACCTGCTAATATTAGGATATGGTTTGGATTCGAATGACTAATTGTTAGGGTCCTTGGGGATGAATTGAGCGAGGAACGGTACACAATCGTCTTCGGGAATTTTTAAAACCTTTAAATTTTAATTTTTTATATTTTATATTAATATTTTAATTATATCATTAAAATTATAAATTTATTTCTTTGACATCAAATATCGCGTCTATCTTTGACTAATACGTTATCTGATATTAAAAAACAACAGCCGGGAAAGTTAAAAATCAACTTCTACTTCTTTTAAATAAAATATAACACTTTTTTCAAGCTTTCAAGTCATCAAAACTGTTCTGCAACACAACTACTGAGAACTTTTACATGTCTTTAAGCAGCACATGCACGTGAATACAATAAAATAGATAGCTCCCAACCCAAATAAACATTATTATATTATATTTTAGGCAAATTAATATTTAGATATTCAATTATCACTTTGATTCTATCTTAGTCACCCAATTATTTTTTTTTTCAAAACTATCACTAATGTTACGTTCTGGTTTCATTTTGGTCATCCATTATTATAAAAATAATGGTGATGCTAACGTGTCATCATAAGATAGTGTCGCGTCACTACTTAAAAACATATTGTCACATCATTAGTTTTGTTAATTTTTTAACGGAGAGTTACCAAAATTAAACCATAATGTAACGTTGGTGATAATTTTTTAAAAAATATAGTTAGATGACCAAAACATAATCAAAGTAATAATTGAATGATTAAATACATAATTTATCTTACATTTTATAATTATATAGAAAGAAAATTAATTTAATACAAAAGTAAATGCATTATTAGGTGGTGCTGTCCTCGTGTGCATGGCTTCATTCCACAGCATAAAATGGGCCACTATCCAAAGTCACAATTATCAAGATTTAGGGTTTAATGTATTCTATTTTAGAGATTGGGGTTTAAACTTTAATATTTATAACGTAAGATTTAGAATTATTTAAATGTATTGAATAATATTTAAGTAAATAGAGTTAACATACAAATCTCTGTAGTAAAATAAAATGTTATTCTATCTAAAGGTTTCAGGTTTTAGTAGATATATCTATAGAGTGCGTGTATTAATAATGACTAAGAAATATTTTAACCAGATATTACTTTGTAATTAATCAACTCATAATATTAAAAAATTGACTTACTTATGGAGTATTTTTTACCGGGTTTGGTTATAAAATAATAAATTTATTTAACTTTCTCTTCCTGTGACTGATGAATACATTTGTGGAGGAAGAGCAAAATAGGAGCACCGTGCAATAAAGCCGCGGCTCCGACGGGAATCAATGGAAAGGCAACAAAAGCTAATTAAGACATTTGAGAGGGAGAGGGTGTCATGGTCGATGTAGGGTGAACCACGGACATGAGTCAAGGACCATGGGCCACACCGGGGGACCATGGACCATCTGTGGGATTAGACTTTTGAGAGAAAAATAAAGATTACTTTTACAAGCCAAACCTTGACTATTCACATTTAATTTCAAACTTTTGGGATGCATCTCCCTCGTCTAGCCCATGCCCTTGTCCCTTCTTTTCAATACCCTTTTTTGCACTCTTCTTTCTCACTTTCCCCATTGAAAAGTGCCTTTGTTTTGTCCACATGTATCGAGTCAAATGACAAAGAATTTGATATAAGTAATATCTCGAGTTTAAGCATCAAGAACAATAAACCCCGATTTTAGATATAATTAACACTCATTTAACTACATGACACTAACCGTGCCTAAAAAAACATAGGGATGAGTGCATGTTACAATTTCGGCAACTCTAATTGGGGGCCTTTTGGAACTAACAGATGAATCAAGGAGTATTCATAAATTTTGAACATTATAACCTATCAAAGATAATACCTGCTACTAGTATGAAAGCTTATAGGGGATCGACCCCAAATTAACCCCATGAACTTGGGGTTTCAAGAACGGGTCAAGCCTATGCTTGGGTCCATCGAAGTCACATTTCCTTGATCCTATTTTCTTTTTAGGGATGAAAGCACAAACGTTTGGCCCATATTATGTAGTAGGCAAAATCATAGTTCTATATGGTAGCCTCATAGTTTAGCCCAACCCAAAATTTGTGTAATTTGAAAAACCCATAATGAACTTTTTCTTCATCGCACATAGATAATTATATTTTCGATTACGGGCCTATCAACCAAATTCTTTTCACTACAACGTCGGATTTATTACAATCATTCATTTCGTTATTTAAAATATTGAAAATTAGATAATGTAATTAGAGTTAATATTCGATGCATTGTTATGTTCGATTAAAATGATATTTATTTATTATATTTTAATGCATGAGTTAACAACAATTTCATTTTTTATGATAATTTTTAAACAACTACATGACTTCATTTGAACGAAAATAAAGAAATATTTATTATTTTTTTATAGAAAAAAAGATAGCACGTGATCATCTCATATTCTCATCCATTACCCAAACAAATTAAACACTTTACAATTTCTTTAATTATTCAATTTGCTAGTAATTCCCTGAGCAAGACAATAAAAACTAGAAGAATAAATAAATAAATACAAGATAAGCGGTTGCAATCATCATCACCATGGATGGTTTTCCGATGGTAGTTGTCGTTGTCGATGACTGATCTTCAGTCTGGTGAGGAGGTTTCCGATAGTAGTATGGGAAATAAGGCATGATAGAGTCAGGCGAGGGCTGACCGTTTAGAAGATTACCATAAGGTGGTGGTGGTGGTGGTGGAGGGAAATAGGGTAAGTTCCCTGTCGGCGAAGGGTATAGTGCTCCTGTTTGTGAAGGTGGTGGATAAGTAACCGGAGGTGGTTGCATGACCGTGCTGGTGCTGCCGTTGGGGCCGGTTGGTGGAGGGTAACATGGATATGGGCATGTGTTATCTGGCTTGGTTTGAAGAAAGAAGCTGAGAATTATGGTGAAGAAAATAAAGGTGGAGGTTTGTTGGGTGTGTTGGCCATGTTATACAAAGAGGAAATAGACGTAGGTTTTAGTGAAGAAAAAGAAATGGTTCAAAATGAAGAGACATTTGGGTCCCTATGCATTAAGAAAATTGGCAATCAAGGCTATTTCCATGAGGTATGTTAAGAAAGAGTGGTTGACAATTGCACATGGCAAACATAATATTAAATACAATTATAAAATAATTCTTATTTTTATTTTAAAACATTTTAGTTTTTAATACTTTATTTTAGATCAAATAGAAAATGTTGATTAACAAATATTCAACACTTGTTGTCATCAAGATAAAATGACATGATAATGTGAAAATTATTAATTGATTAAATGTTTATTCTGAATGTTGATGTAACAAGCATTATACATCTAAAATGATGATATAACACATGTCACGTGCACATAATTGATAAAGTGATATATGTCGAGTGTTTGATGTGATGACGCAACACATGTCATATCATTACTTTAGACATATAAAATGTTGTCTATTAGTCAACTAATGATTTCCATTCAACGAAGGGACGTATTACCTTAAAATAAAATATCGGGACTAAAGATTTTCGAAAAAAGAAAAAGATCCAAATGATTAGTTTATCGAATGTTAGAAATAAATTTTGACAATACATATTGTTTCCAAGACTTTTTGTATTAAATAATTATAAGTCTCGATTAAGATCGTATCTTAAAATGCGAGTAAATAACGTATAAAAATTATGATTTAAGGATGCAAGAGACCCTTAAACTTTTCGATAAAAATGAATTCGGTTTATAAAATTTACGTACGATGTAATTTTCTTTATACTATATATATATATATAATAAATGATTAATTAGAGATAATAATCCTTTTGGACTTTGGGCATCTTATATGGTTACACCTAATCACATGTATCATGTATGTTTTGGCTTCTAATCTCTCAAAATTTCAGATGAAGAAATAAATTTGGTGCAAGTGTTGGTTCAGTTGGAGCTAATCAATTTCATTGAAAATTAATGATTGGGGTAATAATGTGATTATTTTAAGAAATAAATTAGATGACATGTGACGAGTGATGTAGTGGTTATAACTAACATTAATGATTCCAAAACACAATTATATGACAATTAAGCATTAATTAAACACAGTGGTCCCTTTTACTATTCCTTTTAAGACCAACAACCTTTGATCAAATGCATTGCTATATGATCAAAAGATCCCTCAAGTTCCAAACAAAAACCTTGTACTTTTATACATTAGTATTAACTTAAAGATCAAAACTGGACTAACAAAATTAAAAAAAAACTTAATTTAGATTCGAAATTATATGAGACGTTTAATATATAGAATTGAGTAATAAGATTGTCAGTATCAGTGGCGGATCTAGAAATTTATAAATGGGGTCCAAAATTTTAATTTTTTTTAAAAAAATAATGGGGCTGCAAAAAAAATTTCGTCAAATTTTCTTTAACATATTATACTAAATTTCACTTTTTTTTCTAAATAATGGGGATGCACTTGACCCCTAGGGGACTTAGTGCATCCGCCCCTGGTTAGTATGTGACATATTTTCGTGACTAGCATTGTTATTTTGCGGAACAAATTGAATAAAAAATAATTATTCAAATATTAAAAGGAATTAAAAAATTATGTTGTAAATTATATTCGTGACAATTTAATTATGAATAGATTTATTTTAAAAAATATGAAGAGATTTAGATATGACTATCGATCTTTTATTTTTTTCAATCAGATCACTTAACTATTTAAAGAATGTCAATCAAGTCACTTATTGTTAATATTTGAAAAAAATGAATTATTAATTATAAAAATAGTAGAGTTACATAATTAATCATTATTACTTGCACATTCTATCATTTTGATATACTTACATTGCCACTCATTTAATTTTTTTAATAGTTCGAGGTGATTATAATATATTTGTTCAGAATTTTCTTAGTCCATTGATAATGCAAACATACTCTACTGAAAATTAGACACAACTGCTCGAACTCAAAATTTTCACTAGAAATAATAATTCATTTTATCACTAAACTCATTTAAAGATATATAAAAATAGAGATTTTTCTTTACTAAAGAAACAAAATTGGTTAGAAGGAGGAGCCCATGAAAAAATGCGCCGCTGGCTGCCTGGCTCTCTCCATGTGGCCAACTAAACTCCAACGCAAGAGCGTCGTCGGACCAACTAACATTGGGCCTAAACTTTACGGCTTCAGAATAACTGACGCAACACAATTTAAATTTATTCAAAATTTTCAAAGATTTATATATTTAAATTAAAAATTTTAAACTTTTAAAGTATTTATCTAAAATTTAAAAAATGGGGTTAACTAATTTTTTTAAATTTTTTAAATGTTTATTGATTAAAATTTATTTTTTAATAGATAGAGGTAAAAGTCTTTTTTATCTATTACGATTTGTCTTTTGATGATGTTGTCACACTCGACAAATACAGATGAACACTGTCAATGATGAATATCATTAAATTAATTTATAAACTATTAAACATATAATTATAAAATATTTAAAACTATAAAAATAATTTAACTAAAATACAATATTTATAAAATATTAGTTTTTATAATATTATTTTAATTATAATTAGATCACATATTAATTTGAGAAATTTATAAACCCTAATTTATTTTTATAGCTTTGAAGTTCACGTCGTCGTCGTCGCTACAGTCGCCGCCACTGGTATAATCTTTTACCACCGACGAACGATAAAGACTAAATCGACAACGAAAGATGATGGCGGCGACGGTGATGGTGACAACGACAGTAGTGACTTCAAAGCCATGCAAATAAATTAGGGTTTATAAATTTTCAAAATCAATATTTAATATAATTATAATTAAAATGAAATTATAAAAATTAATGTTTTATAAATATTGTGTTTTAATTAAATTACATTTAGACTTTTAACTAATTTATAATGATATGTTTAGTACTTTATAATTTAATGTTTTATAAATTAATTTAATGGTACTCATCGTTAATTGTACTCATCTACACTCGACGAACGTTGTAGAAGTTTTATTTACCTCTCATTAAAATTTTAAATCAATATGTTAATAATAAATTTTGAGACAACGTGTACTTAAAAAAAGTTATAAGTACTCATATAAATAATGTTTTAAATATAAATTTATATATTATTAGTTAATAATTTTTTTAAAAGAATTGAGTAGATTAATAATTCATCAAAATTGGAATCTAGGAAATGAAATTGTGATTAAAATATCAGGTAAAAATGAAATTTTGCGTTTTTATTATTGAACATAAATCTTGATACAGCAAGTACAATAACTCCTGAAACTCTCTTTGGACAAAATTACTTTCTTGTCCTAACAAACAGAAAAAAAAATTGTACTTACTTTATCCAAGTCCTTGCACAAGATCCTAAGTCCTTCGGAATGTCAAAAACCGAGTAGGAGAAACAATCCAGAAACCAGAGCCAATAACCCCACCGCAACATTCCGGTCTGCTCCACCAAAACTCTGGTCAGTTGGGTATAAATTCCCCGGTGGACCGGTTATGTATATGTAGGATGGTGGACTAGGTGGCACTGGTGGTGGTGGACAGTATTGTGTAGGTGGCTTTTTTGGAGTAGGCGGTGGCAGTGCAGGTGGTGGAGGACATGCAGGTGGTGGCGAAGGCGGCGGCGGTGGCGGACTTTGTATGCATGACGGGGTACACTTTACGCCTTGATCACCTGGTACTGTGCTCTCATCAAGTTTCCTTGATTCCAAACCGTTGATGGGGTATGCAAAGGTGGTGATTACAAAGAAAATGGTTACCGACGGTAGAAATCGGCGAGGCTTTATGGACATGGTTGCCGATGGAGCTCCGGAAAATTTTCAGACTGTTATGTTATGAAGAAGAAAAGGATGGAGGAAATGAAGAAGAGATTCGCTTTTGAGCTGGCGGTGATGCTACGTTATTTGGTACATGCAAAGGCTTTGAAAGGCTAAAATATGCAAACGAGACATGTTTTTAAAGGGTAGGGAATCCCTTTGCATGTGGAAATTATGCGATGGTCCAAACATTAAAGGATCCCATAGTGTACACCTTTCCATATTCTATCTCATATCTTTTTGTATAATATATTAGTAACGATGCCAATAGAATTATACTTATTCAATAAGATTAAATTTTCTTTTAATCGTACTGATAACACATGTTGTATAAAACCGATATTTCATCAAATACACATTATTATTGTTTTCTTTGAATATTATGAGCATCGTTAAGGTAATCGTCTATTATGGTGCGACTCTTTTAATTAAGATATTCTTATTCGAAGATGAAAAGTTTGAATGAAAGGTGGCTCACAGCTCAGAGTAATCATTTTCCGGCCAAGAGCAAGAATCAACATCTTGGAATCTTGTGTGCCCTTTTCTGTCACCATTGCATGTTTAGTTGCCTTCTCAGAATTTTCTCTTTTTCATTGATTAATATTTCGGTTCATATCAAACGATTTTAATGATAAAAATGACTCTTGGTTTTTATAGAGGAAATACATCGGTAGAAAATATGTGGGCTATCAATAGTTAAGAAAAGTTTTAAACAAATATTATCTTATAATCACTTATACTATTAAAAAATCATGTTGATCCATCTTCCTCTTGTATGATTAAAAAGGAAAATTACATGTTTTCTTCCTAATTTTCACAATTTTACTTTCCACTTCATCTGCCTTTGGCGTGTACTTTTCACAAATTTGTTGGTAAACAAAGACAATATTCTAAGGATAAAGCTTGAGTCTATTTAAGTTAGGTTTTTAATCTATGCGAATTTAATTTAAATATAATGATATTTTATTTGTCATTCAATTCAATTCAGATATAATTTTTTTATCTAATTTAAAATTTGATATAAAATTTTATAAAAAAATCGCATTTACATCATATTTAAACTAAAACACACACACACACACATATATATATATATATATATTTATTTATATTTATATTTCTCATTCTTATTAAATAAAAGGCTTGATATAAAGAAAGGTGCCCAAATTTTTTTTCCATTTATGTATCTACATTTTTTTTCGGTCAACGTAGTACCTAACGTAATAAATGTTACAATTCTAAGTGTTTAGTCCGTGACAGTCGTTAAAAAATTTCATTAAAAATAAGTCAACCAATCTATATTTGACATGTGGCCTATTTTTTTTTAATTTTTTAAAAACAAAATTTATAAAATTTCAAAAAAAAACTTTTTTTATCTTATTTTTAAAAAATACCTCAAAATTTATAAAGTCCCGTACAGTTCCGGCGAGCCGCTGGCCACCATCATCTACCCTTCAGCCACCATCACCCACCCATCTAATGGGGCCCATGCACGCACCTGTGCAACACTGACGAATCCACGTAGCGATAGCAAAGTCAAGCAGATTCTTCTTGCTAGCAACACCAGTGAAATCCAAGATTACGTTCTAATTGCGAATTAAGAGTTTGACTATTGGAATTTAGAGTTTAGATTTAAAGATTTGAATATTGAGATTTAGGGCAATGATAAATGGTATCCGGCAATGGAGGCCCGGAAATAGGTTGATAAGTAGTCGGCGGCAGCGGCGATGGAAGGGGCTAGCCGAAGATGGATTGAAACTTTGAGATTAAAAGTTTTGATTGTTTTTTGAGATTTTAGAGAAATTTTGGGATTTTTAAAATAATAATAATTTTATTTTTTATAAAAATTATAAATACGTCACGTGTCACATTTTGAGTAGTCGACTGAATTTTTTTTAACATCTGTTATGTTTGAAACACTTAAAATGATAATATTTATAACGTTAGATATTTATATTGATAAAAAATTAGACATCTAAATAGTAAAAGAGATAATTTAGATACTCTTTTATACTAAGCCTAAATAAAATAAAGACCTGATTTAGAAAACATAGAATGATGAATTATGAATATTATAGAAATTATATCTAAATATAAACTTAATTATTCAATTTTTCTCAAAATTTATAAATTAAAAATATTTTCTTTTAAATTTGAATTTTGATTTAACTCAAATTTATTTATTTATTTTAATATAATTCTATAAAATAAAATAAAAATTTATTAAATTTGTTTTAAATATCTAAGTAATTACTGAGTTAGGTTTAAATTTAAATACTACTACTTTAATTTAACCCGTCACGTGTTTAAATAAGAAAACCTTTTTGACAAGAAATTAAATTACAAAATAAAATATTAAGCTGGTCGATTTCTTTGAAAACTCTACTTTGTTCCACTTAAGAGGGATTACACACGATACTCCTCCTTATTATCTCCGCAGGAAAAAAAAAAATCGACTCATCATGTCTGCAATCAAAATCAGCCTTTTGTTCTTAATTATCATCGTTTTTACTGACCTTGCCACCGCCGGAAAACCCCATGTCATCGATTTCCGATGGTCTAACCTCTACCCAGAAGGCATGGCTTGGGACCCATCAGCCCAGCACTTCGTCGTCGGATCTCTAAACCACCGCACAATCCTCTCCGTTTCCGATGCTGGCGTCGTTGAGACCCTGATTTCCGACCCCACCCTCCCTGAAAACGTCACCGTTCTAGGCCTGACGGTGGATTACACCAAGAAACGCCTCCTGGCTTGCCTCCACTCCCTTTCCCCTCTCCCCCCATTCAACGCGCTCGCCGCCTACGACCTCCGCACCCGCCGCCGCCTCTTCCTCTCCATCCTACCCTCCGACCCCGATTCCTCCGTCTCCTCCACCCGTCGCGGGCGTGATGTTGCCAACGACGTAGCCGTCGACTTCAAGGGAAACGCTTACGTCACCAATTCTATCGGAAACTTCATCTGGAAAGTCACCGAAGACGGAGAGGCCTCGATCTTCTCCAAATCCCCCGCTTTCACTCGTTACCCCAACATCATGGACGAAAACCAACCGTTCAACGATTGCGGCCTCAACGGAATCACCTACGTCAGCAAGGGATATCTATTGGTGGTACAATCCAATACGGGCAAGATTTTTAAGGTCGATGCGGACGATGGAAAAGCCAGGGTCGTTCTGTTGAACCGGGATCTGGTGATGCCCGATGGGATCGCGATGAGGAGGGACGGTGTCGTTTTGGTCGTCTCGACACAGAAGCTTTGGTTTTTGAAGAGCGATGACAGTTGGTCGGAAGGCGTGGTGTATGACAAAGCTGACCTCGACGAAGAAGGGTTTGCGACCTCCGTTGCGGTGGGTGAAGAAGGGAGGGCATATGTGTTATATGGACATGTGATGGAGGGCATAACGGGAAGAGAGAGAGACAAGTTTCGGATCGTGGAGGTGAGGTCCGAGAAAGAAAACGAGGATGAACATGTTTGGATATATGTTCTGTTAGGGTTCGGTTTGGCTTATTTCTTGTTTTGGAGATTTCAGATGAAACAACTTATCAAAAATTTGGACAAGAAAACCAATTAATGTAGTTTTGATTTTTGTATTTTCCATAAAACCAATTAATGTAGTTTTGATCTTTGTATTTTCCATCTTTATTTACATTTTTAAAATGTCTTGTATTTATAAATTTGATAATTTTCTTCAACATTCTGGTCTAGTAAATGCTACACAGATACATTCATTTTCCAGGAAGATCAGGTCTTCAATTCATCAGTCTGCATTCATTTCATTTGTCCCAAGTTACAAATTCCGACCAACTTTCTACCGGGAATATCGCGAAGCATTGTTAGTAGGAGCCATGTTCCTCCTACAGTGCAGCTGCGCCTTCGGAGGTGGCAAAGTTGGAGACTTGTTCCTTTGGTGACGGTTCTGTTGGAGATTCCTTCATCCCATTATTCTCAGTTTCTAACTTAGCTATCCCAGCCTTCTCCCTAATCTCATTAAGCATCTCCAACATCTTTATCTTCATTTAGAGTCTGCTCATATGAGCTTCGGCGGGTTCGGGACAAGAGTAAGACCAAAAGCTCCGGCTGTTAAACATCACATCATATTTCTTCGGGAAACGGCTAAACCTTTTGTTGTTGACAGTTCCGATCCTTTCTCGCACTTCACCTGCATATGTGACAAAGAACATGTTAATGCATTGAGACACAAATATATGGAATCAACCACAAAGATAGTCTATCAGCTCGTTTCGCCGCTCAAAACAGAGTTAACTTGTTCCTAAAAAGAAATCTCTACAAGAAAATAACTAAAGAAGCCATAGACAGATTTTACAGTGAGATAATACGCATTTTATATGATCCACTGGTTACCAAATTGATCATTCCCCTTTGCCATTGTTCACAGGCATAACCTCAAACAATTACTTCAGTAGGAAACTTAAAAAGAAACATGAAAAAACGATGAACGAGGACGTCCAAAGAACTGGAATTCAGTGAGCACTGTGTAAAGATTCAAACAATAAATCAGGGCACCTGAAATGACAATCTAAATAGTAGTTTCAGACGTCCTAAAGGCTCACATTCAATGTGATATATCCAGGAAACACCATATTCTCCTCATCAAATACTTAAACAAAGAAGCCATTAGCTTCAAATTTGCAATCCAACTACCAAATCAGGGTCAAATTTTAACATCATTCACTTATTTAATCTCGTTCCATAGCAACTGGGTAAGCACCGATTCCACATTCTTGGGTTCATAACTAAATTTAAGCAACAAATAAATATGCAAACGTGAATTCTACAAGAAACTCATCACCGATCACATTTTATTCCTTCGAAACAGTAAGTACAGAAAATATTCAAAGCAAGCTTTTATTGAGCAACGATACCTGCAGAGGAACCGTAGCTGTCTTAAGCTTTGAAGCGCCCGTAACTGATGTTTTTGATGGGTAATGAGTGTCCTTTGTCTAGTGAAGTGGTGAGTGGGTTTTTATCGTTCTCATGCTAGAAGATGCCGTCTGTCTCACCGGCGGAGGAGTGTTGTGTCACTTCAGCTTTACGATCTAAAGAGCCTATCTTTGAATCGGCGAGTGTTCAGTCAAAAGTGTAGAGTTGGTAATGGCAGATGAGGCCGTGATGGGCTTTTTTGCTGGAAACAAATATGGGTTGGACAGGTTTGATTTGAGAAGAAAAACTGTTCTTTCTTGTAAGGGTAAAGTACACCAACGGTCACTTCACTATATTCAATTGATCGTATTAGTTATTTAATTTTCAAATATTATGGAATAGTTACTTTATAAAATTTCATTTATTTAAAATTATTTTTATTAAATTTGAATAGCTTGCTCCTATATTTCTATATTTAATTCTAACAAATTATTTCTTCCTACTGTATAATTTCACTAATATTTTATTCTTAAAATTTCTTATTTAAAAATTAACATTGTAAATATATTATATAATTTTAGATTATATTTAATTTATTAAATAGAATTAAAAATATTATTTACATATGTGAAAAAGGATATGAATACATATATTGTTATACCTCCAAAAAATTTCAAGCCTCCAGAGTCCAGACATAACTTACAAAAACAGTCAACTCTCCATCAACCATGCCCTTTGTTTGCTGAAGCCTCCTAAGAGTCCAAATTATCTAGACACAAGCGTTTGAGTTTATTACAGTGTATAGACAAGACATTTGACAACCTTACCTAAGAGCCTAAAAGCTGATGAATACTCTTTAGTTATTAAATCAAACATTGATAAGAAATAATGATTAATACTCCAATTATGTCTATATAAATAAATACTAATAGTCTTTCCAATTTATGGAGTTAAATTATCCCTGAAATTTTACATTTTTAAAATTTTTGAAAGACACGTTGCGAAAAATCCTTTTTTAAGTCACTTATTGTAGAAAACACTTTTCCTTACGTGACTGATTAAAGTGTTAATTTAAAAAATAATCAAATATGAGTATTAGAATAAAAGATAATTATTTAATAATTGATATTGGATAAAGAAAACTTCAAATACGAAATTGAAAAGAAAAAAAAACATAACATTTGGGAATTGGTTATAGCACATGTTTTGAAGACAATTAACCCTCGAATATTGTAGCTGATCTGGGTCAACATGCATATGCGGTTTTACAATTAAGGTTTCGAGGTGCTGATTTCCATGCAAACCCTTCGTCAAATCACCAGCCCCTTGCTTCAAACCTCACTTTCGCTATCAGTTCGACTTTAGACTTTACTACCTTGTATATATATATATATATATAAGTGTATCAAAGGTTAATTCTTATATTAAAACCTATTGTAATGATGTGTTAAAGGTCGAACAGACAACGAAAGAAAGGAAGACAAGAATGAAAAAATAACAGTTTGGGAACGAATGAAAAAGGTTCGTGATAATCAGGAGGGATTTGATATAAATGAAGAAACGAAGCAAAGGAAAAGGAAGAGAAAGCAACTCCCCCCATGGAAGACAGCCGATATATGATGTGTGTTGACGTAAAATACACAAATAATACCCTAATCATTTTTTTTGAGTCACCAAATATAAAAAATTATAAAATGATCATTCAACTTTAAAATTAATAAACTGGTCGCCCGCAGTTGATTTTGTAACGAGAGATTATGTGGTGATGCCCTTGGTGAGGAGTTTAAGGGCTATACATTCAACATCAAGGAAGATTATGATAAGCAAGGCAGGCAAGTAATTCACACGTCTGGTCGTGTTCTTTTTTGTTTCACCATGATATTCCCTCCTTTCGTGGTTATGGGATGAGAAATAGTGAGCGTAAGAGGACATGTTCTCACATCTTGGAACCCATATTCAGTTCTCGCCCTGTATTTTGTTGTCATGCATGCTATTTAATAAGACCAAAACAATAATGAAACGTTTGATTATTGTTTTTGGTCTTATTAAGAAATCAAAGTTTTTATTACAGAAAAAGGAAATGTTATTAAAGGTCTTGAATTTAAACGAATATAATTGTAGGGTGTGTGTATATTATCAATAAATTAATTATTTTTTATATAAATACTGTTTAATACTCACCCAAACTCTTTAGCTCTATGTATCCTTGGACGATTACAGGTTGATCAAACTTGCTGGTGGGGTATTCAAAACCCTTTGTATAAATTTATATATTTATTTTATTCTATCGTTATTTGGTCATAATTTTAACAAAATAAAAGATAAAATTACATTTTAAAATTGAATTCAGGATCGAGTGTGTGAACTGAAACTTAATACCAACTAAACTTTTTTGACGGAGTCGTCGTAATATAGAAAATAATCAAAGCAATCTTTCTTGGAAGGTGTATTTCTGGTAATTACCAGAGATATTAATAATGCTGAGAAACTTGAATGAACAAACAAATTTCCAACAAAAGAATTGACCAAGTGATGATCATGAAACTACAGATCCAAATATATACTCCACTCATGATTTCTCTTACATGTTTCAGAAAACAGAAAGGAAGAAGATCGGAAAACAAACAAAGAGAAATCTGTGACAATCATGGGCAATTCACATAATCACTTCCATACGAGAACTGGGTGTATTTGTAGGGTCCGAGCTTGTTATGGCAAAAAGAGGGCCCTGAAGGAGGCACTTGTCCTCTAGGAAGCTGGCTGCTAAACAACTGCTTTAAATCTTTACCACCGCCACCGCCTGGTCTGATGCATTCTCCGATGGAAGCCTCCGCCATTAACACGAGAAAAACAACCACCAAAAGCTTCGAACAACCCATTGTTCTTGGTATTTCTTCAGAAAACTATATGTTTTCAGCTTCATCTGCTAATGTTGTTGTAGTATGACCACATATATACAATATATATATATATATATATATATATAATGAGAACAGGAAGAGACAGCGGTTGGATTTCAACGACGTACGGCTTTTGTTTTATATGATTGATTTCCAGTGAATGGTTTTTTTTAATATTACGTTTTGAAGAATGGATATCATTTTTCCTTTGAAAACAATTATAATACAATATGTTAGCAGTCACTAAAATACAATCAAATCATCATTTTAGTCAATAAATTTATTTAAATATTATTCAATTTATTAAATTAATATAAAATAACTATTCTGATGTTATAATAAATTATAAAATTTTAATAAATTTAATAATTATTTTGTAATATTTGATAAAAAAAAATTGTAATCATTCAAAAAATTTAATTATAATTTTATAACTTTTTAAGATTTGGATGATTAAAATAATCATTTAAATATAATTCAAATGTTTTTTAATTTACTTTACCTAAATTTAATTGGGTAAATTTAAAGTGGAAGTCGCAGTTGAATAATGCAATAGCAGCCAATTTAGAAACAAAGTGAACGAAATCTTTGAAAAATTACGGTTTGTCCTTTGGGTTTCAACTCTTTGAAAAAGTTAACTAAACCTTATTTTTTACATCAAACATAACGTCAGATATGTCAGCAACTGTTATGGAAACGGCTTAAAGATTTGAGGAATTATGAATAATTTATTAAAAGAATTTGAATATGAAATATAATAGTATTTATTCCGAAGATTTTCAATCAATTTGATAATAAATGTTTAATTTAACATTTCTGTAAATGTCATATTTGAAAACGAAACCTCTAAAATTACAATAATCTCTTAACCAATGAAATCTTGCGTGATTGTTCACATTATGCCGTTCAAGAACTGCTACTATTTAATTATGTTACATTAGTTGATTGGAGTTTTTTTTTTTGGATACAAAAAAAGTTTAGGTAATGGGTGGTTCCCCAGTCCAAGGTCAGGGCATACTTAAGACTCAATTGAAATTTACATAGGAATTTATAGATTGTCCACCAAGAGTGATAGTTGTAAGATTCGAGCTTGGCCTTAATTAGTTGATTTGAGTTTACGGACTCTTTATAATTTATGATTCTTATTATTGTACCAACTTGTTATATATAAATTAGACTATAAAATATCAAAATGAATTGGTTTTAGTTACTTAAGGATTTATTGTATTTAAATTACATTACGAAATATCCGTGTGAATGAGTTTAGTTAGTTGAATACTTAATGATTTATTGCATTTATAGAGCGGAAAATTCCTTGTACTATCTAATTTGTTATATGATTTGAGCATGCTTTTAATTATAATATGATATAATCAAATTGATAATTGAATTATATCTGGATAAATTTAGTTAAACCAACAGGGAGCAAACATTCAGTCAAACCTATGGAATTTCTTTCCTGCATAGAAATCATATACGACATTTGGGTTCAATTGCAGGGGATGTTATCATTGCTGGAATTGCACTTGCAGAGAGATGGTGTTTCAAGAGCTTGATCCTTCTTTGAAGGTATACCACTGTTGAGTCTTACGTACACAATATCCTTAAAATTCATTCTCTTCTTGGACATGAACGTCCATCACCTGATATATAACAACAACCGTGTTCACTGGTAGCAGCATCACTCTCCCCGTATTGGAAACACACATCATTATTCCTGCAGGCAACGGCTGATTCTGGCACTCTGCATAAATCTGTAAATTTCCGCATGGTACATCATGTATCCTGCAACTTTATTCAACTCTCTCGGTTGAAGTACACGTCATTGTCAAAAAATAAATGTTTCAACCGGATTTTTTTGAGTACATACTTCTTGCTTCTTAACTTGCAATGTTTCGGAGTTGGATTCTCTCTATCTTGTTGTGTGGATGTGGAAATGAATCAATCAATTGTTTCTTTTCTAGGGTGATTACAAGGTAATATTTATTTATAATTTTTCTTAATCAATTGACAACGTACGCATACCCTGTACAGGCATATCTATTCGTACTCATGTTTTCTATAAAGAACAACGTTACCTTTTATCATTGAGACCTTTCAATAGGGTCGTGGGATGCACACTCGAATGCGTAGTACTTACCGGTTCTTACTGTTCTAAAGAAATGTCATAGGTGACATCAGCTGAAGGAATAAGTTTTGGAACAGGGTTGGTTAGTTGATTCTTTGTATTAATTATATAGACTTTACATTTTCTCCATCCATTGTTGCAGAATTCATTTCATTTCTAGATTCTGGGTTTTTTTTTTGTCATAGGTAACATCAGCTGTGGCAAACTCTAGCTTTCACCATGGTTTAGTTCGGTTCAAAATATAGATGTCCTACGGTCGGGTTACGGTTCAAATCTTTTTGTTATCAAACCGCAATGACGACCAAACCGGCCGCGACAACACGAGTAAAAGAACAGTGTCTGATGATTTGGTGCAGAAAATGATGTGTTTGGGGACAAAGTCGTCGAGAATTGTCTGATGATGATATAATACCACTTTACAAGCAGTGACTAATAGCGGTTTAAGCATTGGTCCATCTTTAGTGGGCATTTGTGGGTGGATGTCTACCATATCACTTTGCATCAAACCATACATTCATACATGTTCATTAAATTTTCAATTTTATAACACTAATTCAACCGCTTCAACCGATCGATTCGGTCATCCCAATTATCATTGGGTTTAAAATGATGCATGTATGACTAGATGCCACATGGGTATTTGTGAGTTTAAAAAGTCATTGCCTTTAACAATGAAAATTAAAAATAAAATAGACTTGGAAAATTATTTTTTTTAGTCTTCTATATTTATAATTTTTATTAATATATTGAGTTATTGGATAAAATCTTAAAAGATAAAGTATATAAACAATCATTAAACTATATTAAAATGAGCAAATTGTGCAACGATCATTAAATTTCTTAAACATATAAAAATGATCAGTAGATTCTATCAAATTATTATAAAATATTCATTAAAATTATTCAAACTTATCACTATTTTATAACATATAATGACTATTTTGTAATAATTTGATAACTTTAACAACTGTTTTATAGCTTTCAAAATTTTAATGGACAAAAAATTATTCAGCATTATTTAGGACCATTTCTGTACTTTACCTAAGTTTGAAAATAAAGATAAGGAATTAAGAAAACAGAAATAAGAAAATGTATGATGATGACCAGATCTAAACCCTAATTAATCCAAAGAAGACGAAAACAAGCAAAAAGTTTGATTCTGCTTTTAGTCCTTTGTTCTTTTCATATTTGAAATTTAATCCCTAACTTTTTAAGGGTACAAATACAAACTCATTGATCTACAATTATAACAAATACAAATTTGAATAATTAGAAGTATAATAAATAATTACACACTAATTATTTTAAACCCAATTTAGAGTTACTTTAGACAAAATTAACATATAACAATATTTAAATCATAATAAATATGGAAAGAATCTACAAAAGATTTACACAGGCTGAAATTCGATCTCGATGCTCAAGGGTCTAGGGCATCAACCTTTATCAACTATCTCAATGTTTCTCATTAAAGAATTGTACAATTTTATATTCAAAAATAAAAATATTAAATTAAAAAATTAATATTTTTATTTAATTTTTTGTTCTTCCATATGTATAATATCAGTCTCAAGAGTAATTTTTTTAAAGTTTTATATAATTAAATTTAGCAAAAATATTTTGGTAGCGTTATCATTGAATTTGATTATAAAATTAAAAGAGTAGAGGGACTACATATCTAATGTTTTGAAATAAAGGGATTTGAATCAAAATTAGACCAGAAAAGGAAAAGGAAGAAAGAGACTAATGTTGACAGAGAGAGAAAAAGAGAGGGAAGTGGGCAGAGAAGGAAGGGAAAGGCAATGAAAGTAGAGAGAAAAAGTGATAAAATATAATAACAAAAGGGAGAGGAAATAGAAATAATATTAAGAAAAGGGAAAGGAAGAGTGTCGTTGTTGTTGTTGAGGGAAAAGAGTCGATGGAAATGCGTGCTGATTCCGGTAGAAAAGGAACCTTCTCCACACTCCTCCTTTTCCTTCTTTTGATCCTCATCTTGCCTTCAATCTAATCTTCTTCTTCTTATTATCTGTTGCTTTTAGATCTTCTCTTTCAATAACTGAACTTTTTTTTGGCTTTACTTGGCCTTATTTTACTGTTGAATTTGTTCTTCTAGTGCTTCAACTTCAAGGTCTCTTATATTCAATCTGAAAAACCAAAACCCACTTTTAATCTTTTATTTGGTGCTTGAGTTGATCTATGGATGCATAAATCCGGTAGTGGTTAGGCTTTCAATATTTCAGATTTCTTTTGATTCAATCGGGTTAAAGTGTTTTTTTTTTAAATTTTAGGGTTTATATTGTTGTTGATGTGATTCGTGCTGTGTAATTGTGTTTGTTACTGATATTGGTGTTGTTGATTTTTTTAATGTGTAAATAAAATTTTATCTCATCGAAACACTTAACTAGAAAAGTTAATTAAAACCACCATTTTTATTGTGGGTTTTCATATATTTTTAATTCTGTTTCAAAAGAAGAAAAACAGAAAGGGGGAAAGAGGCTGGTAGGAATTATTGTGGGGGGTTGTTTGGGATTCTTATGGGAGTACCTGATTGTTCACCATCGGATCTAATACAAAAAGCTGGGTATTGGATTTCATTGGAATCAAGTGATCTTTCCGGTTTCACTGGTGAAGAATTTGAGATGCTCAAAAACGGTGTTTGCTAAAAAATGTGTTGTTCCGAATGTTATGTGAAGTTTGCTGATGAATTCTCTCATAGATACCCTTGTCGAAGTTGTGGTCGTTGGTTATGTTCTAAATGTGTTGAAAGATATGAATCACAAGTTGTTGATGATGATGATTTTTCAAGGGTTACGAGTGTTAAATGTTGCCAATTTTGTTGTGATGGGGTTAACTCAAGGCATGAAAGTGGAGGAAGGAAGTATTCCGAGAAAGTACACCCTTCCGAGTCTCCCCGGGAGAGCCCAGTACCACCATCCTCTTGTTCTATGAATAATCATATTGCTCAATATCTTGAAGCTCGTGATTGTGGGTTTCCTCTGCAGGCAGTAACAGGCAAGAGTACGACTTCATTCATTACGCATCCCCCTCCAGTCTCTACTCAGCGATCTGCCAGCAGGTATACTTAGATAACGTAACTCTGCTGAAACTTTATTTCTTATGCTTATAGGAGAGCAAAAACCTCCTAAAGTTGGTGTTTTTCTTAATTGGTAATGGGTTTGTTAATTGGTATTGTTCTTATTGGTGTAGGAATGATGAAGAAGATGCTGATGATTCTGGTAGGCAGTTTCTTAGCCCTTCCGTCGAATACAGTCAGGATGTTTCGGACATAGATTCTAGTGGTATTAGTGCTAGACATGAGTTTTATAATTGTAAATCTGTGGGATCGAGTCCTTCAGTCAGCCCCTCTAGGAACAGTTTTACTCCTTATAGAGATGGGCATTCTGTACAGCAGAGGCAAGAAGGGAGCCCAATGGCCCAATATGTTGGTCCCTTTGATCAAGAAAACATGGCTGGCTTAAGAAAGCCATCAGAGATGGCTATTGAGGAACCAGAGAATACCGATGATTACTCCGATGATGCGTCTATTGTTCAAAAGCCATTAGATTTCGAAAACAATGGCCTAATATGGTATCCCCCACCTGCTGAGGATGAGAATGATGAGGCAGAGAGCAACTTCTTTTCGTATGATGATGAGGATGATGATGTTGGGGATTCTGGTGTAATGTTCACATCAAGTGGTAGCCTTTCAAGCATGTTCCCAGAAAAGGAGAAACAAGAGGGAAGCAAAGAACCTATTAGAGCTGTAATTCAGGGGCACTTTCGGGCTCTTGTGTCCCAACTTTTACTGGGTGAGGGTATCCAAGTTGAGGACAATGCTGCTGGGGGATGGCTTGACATTGTGACAGCAATAGCATGGCAAGCTGCGAATTTTGTAAAACCAGATACTAGCAGAGGAGGCAGTATGGATCCTGGGGATTATGTGAAGGTCAAGTGTATAGCATCAGGAACTCCCAGTGAGAGGTGCGGGCTGCTTTAACTTTATTCCATTATTCTGTAGTTCAAATGTTCTATTGTTTTTACCCTTTTTTGTTTCTTATTATATGGTTTCTTAAATTGTGAACTTCATCATTCTTGCAGCACCCTTGTCAAGGGAGTGGTCTGTACGAAAAATGTAAAGCACAAGCGAATGACCTCACAATACAAAAAACCTAGATTACTTCTTTTAGGCGGCGCCCTTGAATTTCTAAAAGTTCCAAATCAGCTGGCATCTTTTAGTACATTACTTCAACAGGTTTGTTCAAAAGTCTTTTCCCCTTTATGCGGCTCAATAGAAGGTTTTTATGTGATTAAAAAAGTGCATTTGTGTGTTCTAAATGATGTCTTTTGAGTAGGAAAATGATCACCTCAAGATGATCATTGAAAAGATTGAGGCTCTTCGCCCCAATGTTCTGCTAGTAGAAAAGAGTGCGTCTTCATTTGCCCAAGAGTATCTACTTGCAAAGGAAATTTCGTTAGTGCTCTATGTGAAAAGGCCATTACTGGAGCGTATAGCTAGGTGCACTGGAGCTCTTGTTTGTCCGTCTATCAATAATTTATCTACTACACAATTGGGGCACTGTGAACTGTTTCGGTTGGAAAAAGTATCTGAAGAACATGAAATGGCCAATCAGTTCAACAAGAAACCATCAAAAACACTGATGTTCTTCGAAGGTTGTCCCAGGCGTTTATGTTGCACGGTAATCTTTTATATTTATGCACGTCATTCATTTTTTTCCTGTTACAATCAAAGCTTATGTTCAAAGTGGGGTGGTGGGGGGAAGGGATTACAAAAAGGAACCGAATCATGGACTTCATGCCAACAAAGTTACAATTTGCCACTGAACCAGTAACTATTGGCACATGTGGTTTGTTTGTTGTATCATCTGAGCATTTTGATGCTTTAGTTCCTTCCAGTCCTAAAACTCTACTGCATTTCCTTTGTGTTGATTAGTTTTTCTTTTGCTTCTCCATGTGGTACAAACATTTCTAGTTGTGGTCTATCCAAATTTCTTTGTTTTGGATTCTGTTCTCTTTCTACTAAAACAATAGTATGGTCCTACAGTTCTTTTTTTTTGGTAAGAATTGGTTTTATGCCCTTCGCTCCAATCTCCGTTCATGTGTGTGCATATCATTTTGATACTATCAGGAATTGAGTGACTTAATTATGTACGGGTTTTTGTGCCACATACCCTAGCTATTCCAGTTATTTTTTTTATGCCGAAATGGTGATAGGAGAAATGTGCAGAAAGATCATATGTAATCCAGATCGATGTTTTTGCTCTTGATCATTATAGGCTGTTGAGGGTAGTAATTGGTTTGCTCATGAACAATAAAATAGCACGGGGCAAGTAGATACACATATGCTTGTCTGGTGTCAAACTTTCTTGTAAGAGTGTTTTAACGGATCTGTGTTTTAATGAAATATATGCAATCTTTGTGCCAAATTTCTCTTTATAGATCCTGCTGAGGGGCAGATCTCGTGAAGAACTAAAGAAGGTCAAACATGTTGTTCAGTATGCTAATTTTGCTGCCTATCACTTATCTCTTGAGACTTCCTTCCTTGCTGATGAAGGTGCTACACTGCCTAAGATGAAAGTAAAACATTCAGTTTCTGTTGCGGATAAAACACAGCCTGACGATATTATTTCAGTCGTTCCTAGTCCGCATCCTTCATCCAGTTTCGATACAATAGTCGATGCTCATAATGATGCATCTCTGAGTCTTAATCTAGCACAAGGAGGAATGGAATCATTGTCCAAGCAGTGCGATCAAAATCATTTTTTTCTTTCATCTAAAGGTTCTATTTTTGATTCACACAATGATGATTTGTCTCCTGGTGCGGGTTTGGATGTGGATCCAGAACTATTCAAGGATTCAAAGCTGTCCACTATGTTGCCTAGTGATATTAGAGATTTTCCACAATCTGAATCGCTAGAAAACATGGCTGAAGAGGAGAGTCGTCTTCATGAGATTCAAGAATTGGTAAAATCTGAAAAAATTGATGAAGATGAAGCCTCCAACGAATATTTTTCAGCCACCGACACACACCAGAGTATATTGGTTTCGTTTTCAAGCCGGTGTGTTCTGAAAGGAACTGTTTGCGAACGTGCTCGGCTCCTGCGAATAAAGTTTTACTGTTCTTTTGATAAACCACTGGGAAGATATCTTCATGATGACTTGTTTAATCAAGTAAACTCATTTCAGATTTTGCTTGTCTTCATCTGAAATAACTGGTTATGTGCTTTGGTTTAATTTAATTGGTTTTCTTTGCAGGCATCGTGCTGCCGGTCATGTAATGACCCAGTTGAAGCCCATGTCATTTGTTACACTCACCAGCAAGGTAACCTGACAATCAATGTAAGACGCATTTCCTCTCTTAAGCTGCCTGGTGAACGAGATGGGAAGATATGGATGTGGCACCGGTGCCTAAAGTGTGATCATATAAACGGGGTTCCTCCAGCAACTCGTAGAGTAGTCATGTCTGATGCTGCCTGGGGACTTTCTTTCGGAAAGTTTTTGGAGCTTAGTTTTTCAAATCATGCGACCGCTAATCGTGTTGCGACATGTGGTCATTCATTGCAGAGGGATTGCCTTCGTTTCTATGGGTAAATGCTTAAACCTTTAATCATTTTTGACAGTTAAAAGTATAATATTTACAGTTATGAGTATCATTTGACAGCTTCGGCAACATGGTTGCCTTCTTCCGCTATTCTCCGATCGATATTCTATCGGTATGTGTGCCCCCATCAACTCTTGAATTTGGTGGAAACATTCAGCGGGAGTGGACTAAAAAAGAGGCAACTGAGGTTTATTATCTACTTTTTATACCTTTAGAATCATTGTGTTATGAAATTACTAACTATTCTGTCTCTTGTAGCTAATGGTCAAAATGGAAATGTTGTATTCGGAGGTATCCGATGTGCTTAACAGCATTGAACAGAAGATCAGTTCTGCGAGTGATTTACAGAATCACATCATGGAATTGAGAGAACAGATGCAACAGGAGATAAATAATTACAATGTAAGAACACTGATTATTAGTTAACCGATATGACCTCGAATATTACTTGGTAATATGTATTTGATAATTTTTTTATAGGTTATCTTTGAACTGTGCTATTTGAAAGGTGAATTTTAACATTGTTTTATTTATGTATTTATTTGGTTTTGTTATAGGGTTTGCTGCAACCTTCTGTAATGGATACTTCACAACCGGGTCTTGCAGCTGTGGACATCCTGGAACTGAACCGCCTTAGGCGTTCACTTCTAATCAGTTCGTATGCTTGGGATCAGCAACTTCGTTCTTTGGAAGGTTCCACTGCCAAAGTTGAAGTGGATCATTCCAATGATGGGAAACTTGGTGCTCATGAACAAAATGCCTACAGATCCCCTGATTCACTGGAGCCTCCTAAAAATTACATGCAATTGGAGAACTCTGTTCTTTTGAACTTGGAATCTGTTGTGCCAAAAGAATCTAATTTGGCAATGTATGATCGGAAGATAGAGGAGGATATGCAGTCGGATGGAAACATCACATCTCCTGCATCGGCTTTATCTGAACGAATAGATTCTGCTTGGACAGGTACTGATCTACTTGCATTGAAAGTTCAGCGTCCAGAAGCATTTCAAGAAGATGAGGTCCAACCTTCTTTGATCACTCAAACAAGTAAAATCAATAATCTTCTTTTGAGTGAGGTAGCATCTCCGAGGAGGCTTCATTCTTTTGATTTTGCATTGAGATTCCAAGAAAGAATTCAGAAAGGATTGCACCTGCCTTCAACACATTTATCAATGCTTAGATCTTTCCATGCTTCTGGAGATTACATAAGTATGATTAGAGATCCGGTTTCTAACGTAACAAGGACTTACTCTCATACAGTGCCTCTGGAGGCACAAAAGTCGAATTTGTCACTCAGTTCCACATCCACTTTAATCACCTCTGCATCTCATATGGCTAAAGGGGTTCGACTACTTCTTTCACAGAGGGGTCATAGTGATATTGTTATTGCTGTATACGACAATGATCCTGCCAGTATAATATCATATGCTCTCAGTTCCGAAGAATATGATGAGTGGGTTACTGATAAGTTCAATGAAATTGGAGGAGGGTGGAGTTTAAGTGACGAGAACAAAGAAGATTCTTCTGCTTCCAGCTTTTCACCCTGGCAGTCATTTGGCTCTCTGGACCTGGATTATATTCGTTATGGAAGTTTTGGGTCTGAAGATGCATCATCATCTGTGGGTGCCACGTATACCAATACGAAAAAGTCTCCACATTTAACGGTTTCTTTTGGAGACGATTCTTCCGCTGCTGGTGGCAAAGTGAAGTTCTCAGTGACTTGTTATTATGCAAAACAGTTTGATTCTCTTAGAAGAAAATGTTGCCCTGATGAAATGGATATTTTGCGTTCCTTGAGCCGTAGTAAAAAATGGAGTGCACAAGGGGGAAAGAGCAGTGTGTATTTCGCTAAAACATTGGACGAGAGATTCATTATAAAACAAGTCCAAAAGACAGAGTTAGAGTCATTTGATGAATTTGCTATGAAATACTTCAAGTATTTGACAGATTCTCTTAGTTCAGGAAGCCCTACTTGCCTCGCAAAAATTCTTGGCATTTATCAGGTTTTTCTTCGTCATCGTGTTTTACCTTTTAAGACCATTTTTTTCTGTGCATCCAGTCCAGGTGTGGAGAGTCCAATATATCTTGTTATAATTCTGTGGTTTGCTTGATGATAGGTATCGGTAAAACACCTGAAAGGCAGCAAAGAAACAAGAATGGACCTTATGGTGATGGAGAATCTGTTTTACAGAAGAAGTATCTCAAGGGTTTATGACCTTAAGGGTTCGATAAGATCACGATACAATCCGGATACAGCAGGGGCAAACAAAGTACTGCTAGATATGAATCTGTTAGAAACACTGCGAACCGAGCCCATTTTTCTTGGAAGCAAGGCAAAGAGAAATCTCGAGAGAGCTATTTGGAATGATACATCTTTTCTGGCAGTAAGTTTTGCATTTACGATTAGAATTCGTAAAAAAATGATTTCTCATCATTCAATTACTTTCGAATGAACTGTGCATTTCAGTCTGTTGATGTCATGGACTATTCTTTACTTGTCGGGGTGGACACGGAGCACAAAGAGCTGGTTTTGGGAATTATCGATTTCATGAGACAATATACCTGGGACAAGCACTTGGAGACATGGGTTAAGGCATCGGGAATACTTGGTGGCCCGAAGAATGCATCCCCAACAATCGTTTCTCCGAAACAATACAAGAAAAGATTCCGAAAGGCGATGACAACTTATTTTCTCACCATACCTGATCAATGGAGTTCATGACATAGTTTCATCATTGACTCTTGCATAAGAAAATTGTAATTGCCTTCTTCTCTCCCTCTCTCTTTGGCTACGCTTCGATCCTCGTGTGTTTCTTTCGGAAAATTCTTTTCATTGTGGTGAGAGTTGACCTATAACTGTACACTATGAAGAGGGAGTGAACAGAGATTTCTTTTTGAGGACTCCTTTTAATGACCTCTAAGGAAAGGGAAGAATCCTGAGCTCGTGTAACGTGTATAGATATATATATGCAATTTCCCTTTTGCATGTGTTATAGTCTTCCCTAACATGAATTTCATAATACATGTATGCATAATTATATATGTTCATATATGCATCCGCTTTTATCTCGCTCTACCTCAATCTAACTTATATCATGATATCCAGTTACTCTGCACCACCACGACTCTCCATATCGTTTTACGACCACCACGGCACTCCATATTGTATTAACGAGATGAACTGCCATTGGCCACCAACCCTTAGTCAACAAATTAGACGATAGATTTGATAAAATTTACTCATGCAACACCGTTGTCATCATTATGAAAAAGGACATCAATGCACATTATAGATATTACAATGATAAAAGAAAGAAACCATAAAACCAACATAATTTTAATAAAAACATAACATTATTACTGCATAAATGCGTGTAGTAACGTACGTCAAAAGTTTACATCTCTCTTAACTCTCAGCTCTGACATAAACTCCTCGTACGTTTGCTGGTATATATACACACAGAAAAGAGTCCATTAATGGAGAAGCTCAAATGATTTTATACTAGGGATGTGGAATTTTAAAAACTTGAATTAAAAAGTTAAGAGATCTGAAATTAGAAAATTTTAGGAGTACAAAAGTAAACCATTAATATATAATACTAAAAAAATATTTAAACTACGAGGAAATTTAAAAAATTCAGAATAAAACTGTTTCAACACCCTTATGTCGATCCTATCTAGCAGTATCCATGAGAATATATATTAGTAGGTGAGAGTTATGGCAGTACCCTTCCTCCTCCCGTTATCATGAAATTCACACGTTTTTGTAAACATCGACAACCGAATAAAAAATTATAAAACTATGAAAACAATAATTTTATTTATTAAACTCTTAAAAATTATAAAATGATCGTGAAATTTAAATATATTATTATCTTTATTGCTTTAAATAAAAGAGAAAAAAAGAAGAAAAAGTGTATGCAGGACATGCAAAAACATGCATGCATGTTTACAAAAGTTACTAACAAATTTATGTAGTTTAGTCAAATCCATATTCCATACGTATTTTTCCGTGTCAAATATATATCCAACATTTAAATACTTTTCTAATAAAAGTGTTTATAACTTTTTTTTTTATAAATCTAAAGTAAATATAAGATATTATTTGTTTAAATACTTTCAATCATTTGATAATATATGCTCGTATTCTACATACATTATGCTCAAATTCAAAATTTCAAGTGATAACAACAATTTTTTAATCATTGAGGTGATTAGGTTCGTGCATGTTTATACACGTTGGGTTAAGATCTATTCTGTTTTTTTATTCATGCCAGCTATTTGTAAGGTGAAGATCCAATCTTCTGGTTAGAAAACCAAAAAAGTATACAAAAAGCCATGAAAACAGGGATCATTGTCTAAGGAAACTAACCTCATGTGCCTTGAAAGTTGAAACCTTCTCCAGTGCTCCCATGGCTACCGTTCAATGAACTCCTTGCTGCAAAATCAACCCATCTTTCCACATTAATGGCACCTTCACGTGGGCTATTTCTTCCAGCATTCGCCATGCAAAGCTGCATGATTTTCTCACCTGACACTCTATTTTCGCTTTCATCAACCTCTCCACTTCAGCCCTGGGCACTTTCAGTTTCACCTTCATCGCCGCCGCCCCACTTCCACCCTCCTCGGCCACCAGCCCAACACGCTTTTGCCTTTCGTCAATCTCAGATCCGAAACCGATCTCCTTGACAACATCAAGCTCTCGAACGTGTCTTTTGCGCTCATGTTCACACCCGACCGAACCGTTCTCGGAACTTCCTCTGTAGGAGCTTCGGGCAACACGTTAGCCAACCCTAGGAGTTTAAGACAATTTCACAGTATATTCCTGTAATTTGTGGGAAACTAACATTACAGCAAATTTGGGTTACATTTTTTTATCAAATTTGGTTTTGGTCCCTTTAATATATTAAAATTTATAATTTAATTTATGTACTTTGGTTTAATTAAAGTGTTGATATGAATTATTTTTTTCTAAAATATAAAATTTCAAGTGAACCGAATGTTTAAGGGTATTTTTTTTAAAAAATTAATAAAATAACTTAATTAGTAAAAAAATTAGATGTGAATTTGTTAATTGTATGCTTAAAGGTGTTTTTCTAAGCATTTCACTTCAGTACTTTTACAGAGAATAATTAACGATGTTAACAGTTTAGATTAATTATAGTTTTATCAAAGTTTAATAATCAAATTGCACTAAGTTATCGTATAGGGACTAAATCTCAATATAATTAAACTTTATTTAAGATTGTTTCATAAAAAATGTCTATTTTGTTTATTAAAAACTTATCGTAGAATGAAAAAAGATCCTTAAAAATAATTTAATCATAAGTTTAACCATTATTGAGATCAAATTAATTTTTTACACACCCATCAATAAAAGAAATGAATACACAGAGAGAGCAATGAAAATGGCTTTGTACCTCATGCTCTCATCTCACTTCACATATCTGAAAGGAATTGAATGCCAGTTTTTGTCAAGCAATTAAACAACAATTAACAAACTCTCTGGTGCAAGCAAAAGGATCACGGATGCTGTATTTTTCGAAGATGCTCCAACAATGAAGTGGCCTTCCGCTTGGCCCTCTCGGTTCCGCTCTTGGAAAGCTCCGTCAACGGTATGGCAGCACCGAGCCTACTTAAGCAGGCCAGATTCTCGGCATCTCGCTTACACAAACAGAGTAAAATGGCAGCTGCATTCTCTTTGTTTCGGGGTAAACCTGTTCTTAGCAGATCGATCAAAACGGGTATGGTGCTAGCCTTTACTATAGCTACCTTAGCATCATGGTTGCTAGCAAGAACCGACAGTATCGTCAAAGCCTCATTGACCATGCAGTTTCTTGAATCCGTGAGCATCGTCAACAATGCTGTTATAATCCCGGCTCTAACGGCCCGGCCCTTGTTCCCCTGATATATGCATAGATTGAATAGAGCAGTGGCAGCATCTTTCTTCCCTCGAGTGCTTCCATGTTGTAACAAATCTACCAAAGCTGGTATTGCCCCTGATGAACCAATTATTATTTTGTTCTCATCGGCAAGTGACAAACTAAAAAGGGTAGCTGCCGCATTCTCTCTTGCTTCCATGCTTCCGGTTCGGAGGACTTGGACGATGGAAGGAATGGCACCAGCAAGCATTATAAGAGACTTGTTATTTTCAAATATTGACAGGTTAAGAATAGAAGTTACTGCATGTTCTTGTAATGAAACATCATCTGCTGTTAAGAGGTTGACCAGAACAGGTATTGCTCCTGCATCTGCAATTAGTATCCTATTATCTGTGCTTCTTTTCGATAGTGATCGGATTTCAGCCACAGCTTCCCTACGCTCCTCTAAGCACAGGCTTGACAGCTTAGCAACCAGTGCCTGGAAGGCTGCCATGTCACCGCTAACATCACGGAAAGATCCATCACTCTTTTTGAGCCTACTGTTTGCTAATCCGCTTGGCTGCTCCATATTATGTTTAGCACACCATTGATTTATTAGACTCCTAAGAACATAGTTCGGGGTTAGAGTTAAATTTTCCAGCTTCTGCTGAGTTTTCGGGCATGTTACATTGCCGCAATCTATCCATCTCTGTATGTAAGACCTCTCATATGTCTGTAAAATCCAAATGATAGTTAATCAGAAGGCAAAGGCTGATCATGGAAAAACGAAAATAGAAACGACAACCATTAGTCACAGTGGCACACTATACCTGCCCCGTAGCTACAATCACCGGATCCCTCATTAATTCCAAAGATATTGGGCATAGATAATCAACAGGAATTACTAGTGCATCGGGTTTCTTGGTTTGGTCAGTACCCTTAGTGGCCGGATTCTCTTGCACTTTGGAATCAGTTTCGTTCGAAAGGCAGACTTCAGAGGGAGTTGAAGAGCCATTCACTCTTTCCAAAACCTTAGTTTCCTCATCTGCAGCACGTCTTACTGCACCACGCTTTTCTGGAATGTTATCTGTCTTTGCAGAAATTTCATGATTGGCATCACCACTTTCTTTTTCCAGTGGCTGAGAAATAGCATTCAAAACTTTTCTCGAATTCAAAGACCCGTATCTTTCTGTCGCTCTTCTCAATTGTGCTCTCACCAATGAGATCTGGAAAAAGAAAAAGGAAAGCAGTTGATCTTAGAAAAGCAATTCAATTTGGAAAATAAACTAAAATAAATTATAAATTTTGGAGCTAAACCTGTTCTTGAACCTCCTCTGAGATTTGAAACTGGTCAAATGGAATTTTGGCTAAACTTCTCTCCAGCTTCCATGTAACACATTGAAATTGGAAAGAAATTCTTTTGGCAGCTCCATCCTTAAATTAAGATAGCAAAATTCAGAGACGTACCTATAACATAACATATTAAGAACAAATGCATATAACCACGACAAAAACTCCAGCTACAACCGCTCTGCTAACAAAAAAGGGATGTAAAAAAAAAACATATATTTTCTCCTCCATGACCTGCAATTGCATATTAAATGGAATTGCCACTTTAACTGAGACAAAAACTAGCAATTGACAATATTTCGATTATACATTGTGCTTCCAATTCCTTGGGGTTGAATTCATATTAGAAAATCAAGAAACAGAGTAATCACTCAGATAGATTACGTTGTTCGAACTCTTATTTTTATTAAAATAGTCTATCTCATACCTATATTCAACACATTAAAAATAGTTGGATTCTTTTTAGTCCAAAAGTTTTTTTTATATGTATACTTTTCGAGATGGAGATCATCTATCGCAATCAATACAAACTCACTCGGTAATTAGAAATTTGAAAATTTTCCGAGGAAGAAAATAGTCGACTGATTCTGTCAATTTTGCAATAGAATTGATTCTATCAGTTAAAATAAAAATGAATAATTGAATAATACACTAGTACTCGTGTTCTTCAAAATAAAGAAAGAAGAAAAAGGAGACGGGTCATTACAGAGGAATTAACGGAATGGTAGCCTGAAGCA